AGTTGCCAGGTCTCCAATGGAAAGGATTCGAGTGCGAAGCACTATTTATGACGTGACATAATGCAAAATGTCTGTCTGCCATAGCACAATAATGACATTTCTTTTTACCTAGAGACTAAGAGTATAACCTTCCATATCGGGGCACCTCTCTTATCCAGGCACCTCCCATATCAGAGCAGCTCCCTCACCCGGGCACCTTGAATGCAGGTATCTGCAGTATCTCTTTTCGTGCCAGTTACAGTAGCTCAATTGCTTCACTGCATACATGGTCTTTTAAGCTCTTAGCCCTTCCTATTGAGAAAGGCATCCATCTTGGTTTAGCAAGCCCATTTGAAGAAAATGATGTGCAGCAATGCATTATGGCTGCTGCAGTATATTTCCGAGTTAGGGACGATTCTGAAATAGGGGCATCCCTCGGCATTTGGAGAAGAGAGGCTCTACAGTACTAAGAAGTAAATTCCAATTTGTTGACTTACATTGGATGTCCCTGAACTCCACCATGGCGCGCAATGCTTTCGGATCAGCCAGTGCCATCAGCCAGTACAGCTTGACACGTCCACAGCCCTCGTGAACCTCCACCTTTATAGCCTCCTCTTCTTCCTTGAAGACCTGCCAACGTAGCCAATCGCAAACACACAACACCATTTTGTTGTGCTGCTCAAGTAGAATAGAAACTCAACTTTAAGAAAATACCATACTGTTTGCATGTACATAACAGCATTACTCAACTAGCACAATTGCCTGCATGTGTGCAGTCAGTGAGTGAACAGCAGCAGCGACAGCAGCAGCAGCAGCAGCAGCACATTAGTAGCAGCAGCAGTGACAGCAGCAGCAGCACTATGTAGTGCATGCTGCTAACATGGCAGCACTGCCTGACTGACTATACAGTGTAGACTGTGCACAGATAAGCCCTGTGTTCAGCTGTATCTCAAGACAGTAACAGTTAGTCTCTTACTGCAGTGGTTGTTAAATACAGGTATTACTGTTGGGTGCTGAGTGTATACGACTACAGAATGGTTTACCCAGCTTGGGTTTGTAGGACTAAGAGATTGTTTCTTTGTACAGCAGCCAGGTACAGTCTCGCCTGGTCTATCAGTGTAGAGCACAATTCCACCACGCAATAAACAACAGCTTTGCACACACGTAGTCCGGGCTAGGCATACCTGGCGCTGATGGCCCTTGTTGCGCTTCGGCAAGTGAAGCACACGGTCACACTCGCCACACAGAGATCCGCACACGTTGCACTCGACAATGGCTCTTGTCTCGCCGTCGTCGTGATTCTCACAAGTGCGCTGTAAACACACACACACACACACACACACACACACACACGCACACGCACACAAGATACAATAATTATACAAATGTATTTTTAAATAAGTTTGGAAGTACATGTGCAGATACGCGAGGTTCAGACATGAGTAAGTTTCATAAGTTACACAACACACACACGCACACACACACACGCACACACACGCACACACACGCACCCACCCAAACACAGATGAATGCAGGTAAACTACCACTAATATATTTTGAACTTCTCCAGCTTTTGATATTTAGCACAGCAATACAAGACATTCAGTGGTGAGATCATAAGACTGATATCTGAAGATTCCTATCACTGATAAGAAGGAATTTCCACAACATGGTGTGACATTTTGTTGGCTAGCATACAACAAAGTAGAGAGAAAGAGTTGAGCAGTGCGGTCCTTGCCTTGGCATTAGCACCCGGTGATGGTTGAGAGTCTGCAGCACCAGGCTTGTCTTGCCAGTTACCAGAGGAAAGTGACTCAATGTGCTCCTCGGACAATACACACAGTGATGCAAATGACAACCATGCCTAGACGAAGAACAGCAGCAGAAGCAGCAGGACAACGGCAAGTAAAGCAACAACACCATACCTCACGCTGTGCTGCCGCCATTCACTACTGAAATGCAGTAAACAGGTACGTACATGTACCTATTCACAAAATTAGTGCTTGAACACGTACTAACTTCGGGGTGGGGTACTAGACTAATATAAGTTGAAATCAGAATCACACAAAAACATTGATATGCCACTTTGACTATCAACATCTAGAGATGACACACGTTGATCAGCTTTCCCGCAGGCCCGGTAGCATATCTGTTGAGAAAACACATCTGACATACTGGTATGGAATCCCACAGGGCAATGGACTAGTGATGTGATGTTCCAGCTGCTGGGTAGATTCCTTCCGGCGAACATATCCAGCATCACTACGAAGTAGTTACTTCAACAGTTGTAGCAGATGTAAGGCAGTATGTAGTCATGAACACATAGGGTGCAGCTGCGCATTTTAAATTAACAAGTGAAGCACATAATGAAGCTAGTGCCACTGGAATTGGAATCAGCTACAGTGGGAACCTTTTGCAATCACAGGTAGCTTACCTGATGTGAGTTGATGCAGGGGATAGCATCGCGCAATGTCTCGTTGATGGTGGTCAGGCTCAGGATCATTTTGGCAATGGATGCCTT